GCGGGGGGGGGGGGGGGGGCGGGGATGGGAGGCACGTTGCGTCAAGCCCCGGGGAGTTCGTTCGGAGGCGGTGGAAGTTCTCGGGGAGGCTCGGCTTGGACGCCGGACATATCGCGCGGCTCGGGAGCGTCTGCCAGTTCCTCTCCGCCGGGTAATCTGTTGGGGGCAGGAGGAGCGGTACCGACACCGTCACCCCCTCGAGAAGAACTAGCGGGTAGCGGCGGCACCTCCAATGGGAACTCGGGAAGAGGGCCTACGGATCGCCCGGCAGGAGGAGGGCTATTTTCGGCGGCAGGATTTGGTGGCGAGAACGCGGGTTTTCCAGGGAGTAGTGGCGGGTCATCCATGGCGGCGTCGCCAGCATGGCCGTCGAAGCAATCGAACGCGCCGCTGGGGGGCGCGGCCGGGGTAGAGGGAAGGGCAAGAGCCGGCGAGAGCAGCGGCGGGAGAAATCTCGCTGTCCCAACGTTTTCTTCTAGTCTTGATACGGGAGCGAGATTCACGTCGGAGGTAGGACGATCTGGTGGACCGTTTGTTGGCACGACCACCCTCGGGGAGAGTGGTGACCACGATGGGTTTGAGGAGGAGGACGGCGAAGAGGAGGAGAACCCCTTCGCGTAGCGGCGGTCACAATCAAGGCGCTGGGCAGCGTCGATGACTGGCGTGGATATTTTGCTGTGGACAGTTGCTCTCAGTCTTTTCGAGTCCTCGTCAGCGACGCGACCCGCTCTGTACTTTCGGTGGTTGATATTCACTGGTAATGGCGGAACAACATCTGTAAGAGCCGTCGATGGACGCGAATAATATAGGGCCATGCGTATCATGACTCCTGTTTGTTGGAGAGCTCTACCGAAGTAGTGTTGCGTACCACACAACACAACAGGCACCAATTGTTTGTGGTGGAAAGTGAAGTAGCGCAACAGAGGTGGACATAAATATGCACATGTTTCTGGCTAGATGCCCATGTGCCCTCCCTGCCTTGAGCTCTAGTCTACAGCGCAAAGTCTTTTAGAGTGCGCACGATCATGCAACTCGAATAATGATGCAAGCAAGTATTTCGCGTTCGATGCGTCTATTTGTACCGTCGGACAGCGGTGGTCCAGTTGCAGCACCAGTGTGTACGGGGGATGGCCTCTGTGGTACCACAAGCGCTCCGTAGCTGCCGTAGTGACGGGTGAAAAAAAATATGTCGATGGCGACGAATGTATTGCGCTTGTGTAAACGGTGTGCCCCGCGCTGCAGGGTGTGTCTCAGTGGCTGAGTGGTGCAAGGTAACCCGCAACCTTCTGACGTTTGGGCGAACAAGAAAAAACAAGATGAATCGTTCGTGAAGGCTGCTGCTGCGACCGGTCACCCCCTCTTCCTGCCTTCCACTCATAGCTTTATCGGCCCGCCTCTACGAACATACATATGTATAACGCCATGATAGTGTCCTCCCCCCCCTGCACCAAACCATCCCCCGCAACCTGCTTTCAAAAGTTGTTGGTAGGCAGGAAAGGTGATAATGGAGCATGCCTCCGACTCCCCAGAACGATTGCTAGAACGAAACGCGTGTAGTGACGACGTAGGACATGGTCAACTACACGCACGAGACAATCGTCACCTATTTGTTACACACCAACAACGCAGTTCTTCACGTCCGTATCGAACGGGTTTGGAAACGAATCAAAACACACCTATTTAGGGTTCAATGTCTGTCTCAAGTTATTTCAAATTTTGTGTCCACGTCTACAGGTAGGTAGACTTTGTGCTGATCCTTGAAAATGAAAAAATTCCCTACAAGTAGCGTGTGAATAAAGTACAGCAGTTCGACACCAACCAGTACGCACACCGACCGCCGTATATCATGGGTCGTTTCGTCTCGGGCTCGTGCCTCCTCGCCAGTGGGAGCGGAGCAAGCAAGCCTTCTCCTCTCTAAACAGTGTGTGGTACATGAGACCAAAAGTCTTACCGCCCCCCGGCCCAAAATGATGTTGCGTTCTCTTCAACACACGGAGACTACACTGCTAACTTGGATACGACACCACCAGTTGAATAGATTTAGTTTCTGCACGCACGTGCGAACAAAGTAGAAACTTCACAGACAGACGTCGCGGAGAGAGAGAGAGATATTGAGAGAGAGAGAGAGAGAGAGAGAGAGAGAGAAAGAGAGAGAGAGAGAGAGAGAGAGAGAGAGAGAGAGTATACTGCAGTAGTCTGTTCACAGCGAAATCAACGCACGTCCGCTAGACTAGACTATGCTTGGAAGGAAAGCAGCACACCCAGCCCCAGAGAGAGCCCGTACACCACCGCGCCGTGCATGTGTTCCACTCATTCCAGATACACGTGTTGAATCGTGTGCGCCAGAGATAGCATAACCATGGAGACCGAGTCAACTATTTGTTATTCGTCGCATTCTATTCTCGTCGAAACCGAGCGACATGGAACAATAACACGAAAAATAAACGAAACTGCTGTGCAGACCAAAAAACGCCTCGCGGACCGCCAAAGAACGAAATAACGCCGCGCGGACCCCCCCTCCCGGAACCGCGATCTTGACTCTTTGTACATGAGCGGGGGCGGGGTGTGTATAAAAACCCGTTACAATTCGCGTCTCTCCCTGCCTGCTGAGAGCGGCGCACACGGACATAACGAACCTCTGCGCGCCCTGACTTTGACAACAACCTGTTGTCACGGCCACAGCGAGCACAGGATCGGCACAGACAATCATGATGATCAAGCGCATCATGATGTTGGCCGCTTGGGCCTTTGTGGCGTGCTGCCCGATCGCGAACTCCTTCGTGTACCGTTCTTCGGTGCAACGTAACACCTTCAACACCAACTCAATGTTGGGCAGGAAACAGAGGGGCGAGGTCGGCAAGACCATCGAGGTGCCCTCAGGCAAGACCATTGACGGGGCTGGCGTTGGGCGCAGCAGCGGCGCGGTCGCCATCGAGGAGAAGGTGCGCATCCCGCGGGTTCCTTCGGCGCTGGACCCCGAGGGGATTACCCGCAGGGTGGACTCTCCGCTCCACATCTTGGGGAAAGGGGGGGATGGGGAGGTGAGCAGGTTAATGTGTGTCTTTATTGTTAACATCGACACCGCGCTAATGTGACTCATATGTTGTTATTCATAGTTCACGGACACACAGACATGCCCAAGACGAACAAACGCGCTTATAGGACACCTACGCAGCTAGGTGACGCGGGAGTTGGTTCCGGCAGAGCTGTCTGGTTGGAAGCTGAGAACGCACGATATCCACTTCCTCTGCTGCTGTAGGTGCACCATGCCGGGTGACGGTGGGATTTTCTTACATGGGGCAGGCCATTTCCGAGTAGATGTATTGGATTTTGAAAGGTTTCATGTTGATCTACGGTACGTACACAGTAGACCACACCATACAATAGTCTGCAGTAGATTGTTTTCACACAAATCATGGTACAATCCCCGATACCTGAGCAGGATCACTGGCATCGAGCATTTCCTTTGATGTCCCAGGCACATGCGCTCCAGGAGTCATCACACCTATTGCGGTACGACATACAGTATGTCCCGTCGCTCTCCTGCCCAACGAGGGATTGGCTTTTTTGTTCCGTCACGATGTACGTGCGTTTACGTGCGTTTTGTGTTTATCTGTGAGTGAGATCTTCACCCCCTTGACTCACATTCTAGACTAAATGTTTCGTCTGCTCTCCTGCTCGGAAGGGTGTGCCGGTGCCGCATGAAGAAGAATTTGTTCCCGTGGTGAGGGAGGGGGCTAAGTCGCCGAGCAACGGCGATCACCACGACGTTACCCATCAACAACAACTGATCCAGCAGGATGAAGCAGCGGAAGATGGTAAGGCCATTGCAATACCCGTTATATTTAAAGAGCAAAGGTTGGTGGCCGCTGTGCAGGCGATGAGGACGCCCCCACACCGCTGCTGCTGCCCATGAAGGTGCCGCGGCCGCCTGTGCTGCTGCTGGCTGCCACTACTACGACAAAATATTTTCACTACAATGTAGACGTCCAGTACCATACCATTGGACTCCCCGGTGTCGTCGGCGCGAAAGAGCGGGGAGAAAGTGCTTGGCCGTTGCGCCACTCCAAGCTCCTCTCCCCTCTTTTGCGTCGTAGACATCAGAGCCCGGTGCTGCTCGCCTGTAGCGATAAGTTAGTCGAAGTTGTTGTAGTCCCAGCAGCAGCAGAGGCGGCTGCGGCACCTTCCTCTGCAGCGGCAGAGGTGGGGGCGTCCTCATGGCCTGCAGCAGCCTATTGTTGTTGCGAATTATTCGTGTTTGCTGTAGAGTCATTCCTAAATTTCTCAGGATGTGGCTCCACCCATGCAATCGTTTTCATCTCTCTCTCTCGGCCGAATCCACGTTGTTGTTTCACTCGATGCTATGGCTGCGGCATCTTCGTCTGCAGCGGCAGAGGTGGGGGCGTCCTCATGGCCTGCAGCAGCCTATTGTTGTTGCGGATTATCGTATTTGTTGTAGAGTCATTCCTAAATTTCTCAGGACGTGGCTCCACCCATGCAGTCGTATTCATCTCTCTCTCGGCCGAATCCACGCTGTTGTTTCACTCGATGCTACATAGCCTGCGGTAGAACACTCTCACAGCGTCAACAGTGAATCTTACCCGAGGAGATACTGCTCTACCTCCTCTCCCACCCTTCAACTTCGTCGTCATCCCCACCATATACTTACTTCACTACAGGTGGTGTTGGTGGTGCCAGAGAACCTGCTGGAACTGTGCGGCACGATCTGGCGCACCGGCATCCAGTGGACACACGGCGTCTTCCAACACGACGACTTTATCTTCAAAGTTAGGGCCCAGTGCCACGCATTGTTCAAGCTCTACGCCATCGGCGCCACGAACACCCGGCCAGCCCACAACGCCCACGCCAGAGGCGAAATAAACCTCCGGCTTGAACGTTGTGGGCTTGCTGCCTGCTCGAGCCACCGATGGTGTAGAGATCCAAAATGGCGTGGCACGGGGCCCTAACTTTGGAGATAAAGTCCTCGTGTTGGAGAAAGCCGTGTGTCCGCTGGGTGCCTGTACGCCAGATCATCTCGCACTGTTCCGGCTGGTACTCTGGCTCCGAAGTGCCTCCAATACCTCCTGTAGTGAAAGGGTGGGGGTCACGGAGAGGGTGCAGCTTGAAAGGTGCGAAGAGGCACTCTACGGCATCGCATGAGCGCATGCTCTTGTCTTATCAAACCAAGCTCTTCGTCTACCAATATTACCAGCCTTGGCCCCTTTCCTCGCAATCAAAACACAATCATGCCAACAACATACGTAGTTACCCTCGCTGCTGTATTGTCGGGCGTCTCACGCACATAGACTATATCGCTAACGGCCTCCTTGCGACCCCCTCCCGCCCTCCCCGCCCGGCAAACGATAAACAGGGCTCGAGCGCCGGCGCCGGCTCCACCACCACGGTTCGAGGCCACGGGGTCGATACCCTGGCTGGACTGTTCGCTGGAAGGGGTTCCAACGACACCGTTACAGGAGTGGGTTGTCCGGGCTACGCTCAACGTCACCAACAGGGCCAGGTGTGGGAGATGGGCTCTGCTCGATTTGTGACAAGGAGCACACGCCGAACGAAGCCGCTGCTCCGACCACCGGACAAGTTGGATACCACGACCCCGCTTCCGAAACCTCTCTCGGAATTTGCACGAGCGACATGAAGAGTGTCCCTGTCGAGAGCCGCAGCACTGAGAAGTACGGAACTGCGACCATCGTAGAGAGCAGCGAGGTGGCCAACAACCACAGCCGCCACGGCTTGGAGAAGGCAAAGGCCTCGCTGGAGCTGCCGTCTTGTGCCGTCGACGCCCGTTCCTTGCAAAAGCGAGTCGAGCCCATCCAGGACGACAAGAGCTCCGCCCCCACGCACGACGGGTCGAGTCCTGCCCATACCAGGATCGCGCGCGAAGCAGTTTCTGATGGTCAAGGTCACGACAGGAAGAAGGTCGGTCGCTCCTACCCCCACGAGGACACCGGCCGCTCGTTTTTTAGTCTCCACCTTCAGCAGTTCGATGGTCCTGAGGACTTCAACCAAGGTCCTTCATTGACATTTCCCTACTTTCCAGCGGAGATTCCCCCCCCACCCGTCCAATCCGGAGCCACTCCCGCCGCCACCGCCGCCACCGGGTATGGAACAGCGTCTCGTTCTACACCGCCCGACCCGACCACGAACAGCCCTGCCGAAGCCCCTGCCGAAGAATCCCCTGACTACGTCGACATGTTGACCGCTGCGTTGCATGACGCGTGGGGCAGAGGAACGATTCGAGGCACAAGCCACTTGCCCACCCAGGATGGCACCACTGCCGCTCGCCAGTCCTCGGCGTGGTGGCCCTCGGAGGAAGCCGGCGTAGACGCTGACGACCTTCCGCAGGTGTTCTATGACGCCTGGCGAAAGGGAGGGGTTCGGAGCTCCAATACTCTTTCCGTGGGGGGCACAGCACCGGCGGAAGCGTCAGAACGGGTTGCATCGACCCTCTCTGAGGGACATCGTGAACAGGTGGGGTTGCCGGTGGTCCTGGCAAAGAGTGGTGCAGTGTTGTTGCGGTCGTAAGAGCTTTGGAGTGTGTTCTCTCGATGGCCGAAGGCAATCCTTTCTTTGAAAAAAACAGTTTTTCGGTACGCAACGGACACTGTTTCATAGCCAGGCATCCTTACACGCCCATGGGGCAGGACATGTTCTGGACCGGCACCACTCGAAATTCAATATGTAACACCCTGATACCTTGCGGCTCCTCAAATTTCCCTGCGTAGTGCGTGTGTGTCACGTAGCTTTCTTTGTCGTCAGCCAGGGCGAGCGACTGCTTTAACAACACAGACGCCGTCAAACGCCACCATTTCCTTCCCCGCCACATGTTTCGTGGCCACTACTCACGAACAGCAACAAACTTAATCAACCCCCTCCAAACAAACACCAGACGACATACAACGATAACCATCCCCGCAAGGTCTCGCCGACACCAGCCATCGCTGAAGACCGGGAGGCTTCGAAGGTGGCTTAGCAGAGTATGGTTGCGCCACCCTTTTGCCAAGCCTCTTTCGAATCCTCGCGATCTTCATGTATCGGCGGTCGTGCTGGGATGGTCATCGTTGCTTCTCGCCTGGCGTTTTTTTTCGGGGCGATCATGTTCCCTGTTGTTCGTGAGCAAATATTGGGTAAAGAGGCTCTACTCGCCCCCTCGAGATTCATGACTCTACACGTGTTTATCATCCTGTGGCCGCTCGATTCGCTCGCTTAGTGCATGTGTTCTATCTAGCTTTGTGTGTGGTCAGCCCAGGGCGAACGACTCCAACAACAACGAGGCCGCCATACACCAAAATTTCCTTCGCCGCCACGTGTTTCACGACCATTACTCACGAAAACAACCAACTTAATCAACCCGCACATACCGCCAGGCGAAAACCAAAGACGACAACCCCGGCAAGGCCGCTCCCGCCAGCCACTCCCCCAAGAACGGGAGGATTCGCCGCTGGCTTGAAAAAGCAAGGCGAGGTTGGGCAAACAGGCGGGGCTCGCGCACGAGGCGACGTAGGGACGATTTGACATGGTAGCGCGTGGTTTGCGTGTTTCTCATGTAGAGTATATAATTTTCCCGTGTAACTACTTGTACACGTAGTGCGTGATACTTGAAGGCTCACTTTGAGCCGACAACGCATGTTGTACCACTGTTGTTTGTCCACATAGTTGTAGGGGGAGGGGGGGGATCTTGATGCCAGCGTGTTTCTCGTTCGAGTGGCAAGGCACTTTCGTGACTTTCTGGTTGCGTTTGGCCTCAACCGTATTGCATGCGGCATCGTTGCGGGGTCCTTAAGTAGCTAAGGTAAATTGTTGTTGTTTATTTCTCGGAGTATATATTTTCGCTGGCATAAGCACGAAAGGGGTGCCGACTAAGCCTGTAGGCATGATGGACAGAGCCGAAGGTGCTGTTGTCGTGCAGGAGGGCGAGCAGATGGAGGG